AAACTGAAAAAGAAAAAAACAAGTTTAGGACTGTCTTTTCCTACTATGTAGTCAGAAAATGAGCAAAATAAGATCCAGAAATATATAGAAAAGGTTTTGGATTTGTTCATCTGTGCTGATGAATAAGAAATACTGTAATGGAAACAGTGACTTAAGATGCAGATTATCAACTGCAGTGAAAAGAAGCTTTCTATGGTTTTAGTTCAATGTTGTCTGTAACTTTTCAGGATACTCAGCTGTGATCTTTGAGCCATTCTTGGTTTTTTTGTGGGTTGTGGGGTTTTCTGGGATTTTTGGTGTCTTTTTTTTTTTTTTTTAAATAAACTTCATGTTATACTCTCTGGTTTATCTACGGTGGCAGGAATCCCTCTGGTCAGACAACCACATTTCAAGAATTTTTACTAGGAATGGGAAGAAAGGTATCAACCAGCTGACAAATCTGTACATTTGAGAGGAGAGTGGTAAGGAAAGAACATAGTGTTCTGCCCTGCTTTCCGGTGTGAACTCTGGCCAGCATTAGTTTCGCCTCAGCAGAATAACAAGGGAGAGGAAGGGATGAGTGAAGAGGGGAGAGAATAGCTGTTGTCTTCAGTTGCTTCCTGGCCAGCACCATTGCTTAGGGAAGTTGGTAGAGTTGTGATTAGGGCAGGACATCTGCTCCCCATAAAAGTGGGACCTGTTCTAACAAAGCTAATTCTTCTTCAGAAGTTGTGAGGTTGTTTCCAGTACTTTTTGCCCTACCACTCCCACCTTGGTCCTTCTAGTTTGGGTAGACATTCAATCTCCATGAGCCAAGTTTTCAGGAGGATTACAAAAGATACAGATGTTATCACTAGTAGTTTAATGTGCGTGGGTTTAATGCCAGTTGCAAAATCTGCGAAGATTTTTTTTTTCCCATCTTTGCTCAGACCTTTATAATCCTTCCATTTGAGCATCTCCCTATGGTTCCTTCTCTGTTGTCCACTCTTGCTGCAAGATTCTTGCTCTCATTTTCCTTTCAAAATGAAATATGGATTTAATGTTACCTTTCAATACGAAAGAGGCGAGGTAAGGAGAACCCAATCCTATCCTGCTGCAGTTGTTACAGAGCTTAAAAAAAATTAAAGGGGCAAAAATACTTAGTGTGCTTATGCTATGTAGCAAGAACAAGTGAGCATTCACAATGCTTCCTTGGAGACAGGAGGGGAAGAAAATATACAGCTGAAGTTTAGAACTGTAAATTTTCAGCCTAACATGGTTCAGATCTTCCCAGTCTCGCTTCTGAGACAAATGTTGTCTGCTGCTTCTTTCTATTTTCTTTCTGACACATTGTTGGCTGTTAAGACACAGGGCTGGATGGGATCTTGCAAGGTCTTCCCTCTTGCATCAAGAAAGTCATTTCTGGATAACCTTGTTACTTGATTTGCTTGACTGTAGTGAAGGTAACATCGGAGACCTTACAACCTGTACCAGTAGGCTCCGATTGCAGAACTCCGATGTTTTGTCCCCCACTACCTCTGTTTTTCCTACAAAATTGGAGGATTTGACACAGTATTGAAATAGTGAGTACAAGGGAAAGGAGTGCAGGGAAGGGCAGGTAGATCTGATTTTCTGTTTCTCAAGGGATGCCCAATTCTTGTGCTAAAACGAAATTCTAGAAAAACAAAATATCAAGCTCGTGTGCTAGAGAAGATAGGTATTTTGGGGAAGACTATCCATTACACTCTTGGTCAGTGCCCTTGTTCAGTAAATTCATCCATTTCTAACAACTCATTCAGTGACTGATGGGAGTATAAAGAAATCTACAGGATTAGTGAAGAGGTGTGGTTTGTTTTGTAGGTTTTTCCTCTCTTCCCCCCCAGAAAAGCACTGAAGTTACAAGCTTATAGGAAATTGAGCTCATGAAAGAAATCACCTCCTGCTGTGGGCATCAAATGAAGGCATTAAATGAATGTGGACAGATCTATTCAGACAGGGGCTGTAGCAAGTTTCCTTTGCTTCTGCAGTATAAAGCCAAGTTCTCCTTTTAAATATAACCAGTTATGAAAAAGCTGGACACTTGGAGACGCAGAACCTTTCTTGTTTCACACTGAGTGAGTTTGTACCACCCACTGCTATCCTGTCTAAATTTAATCAGTTAATATGTGTAACTTGGTATCCTCAGTTCATTTTATTGTTAGAGCAGTATCATCAGAACATGTTTCTGATCATCAGGGTGATTTATTTTGCTCAGTTCTGAGGAATTTTCTGGAGGTGCCTCCTGTTTGACTGTATAAGCAAACTATGATTTTTAATTTTGAGAATGATAGAGAATTAATTTTTATTGGTGTGTACATGTATTACATGCATTTCTCATATTTTGAAAAGTAAAAAAAATGCATGCAGGAAATATAGTGATTTTCCTTTTCCTGTAGCTTCTTTGAAGATTTGGTTAGCAAGTTCTCTAGAATTTTGTTAGCTACTTCCTGAGAAGAAATTGGTTCGTTCTTAGAGATGCATGAGAAAAAAAATCAGCACCATGTCTGCTTAATACAGTCAAAAGGGAGGTTTCACTATTAAGCAGAGTGGATTGCTGTTCTCTGATCAGCAGAAGTTTGTGGATTTTTCTTTTGGAGAAAGTTGATTTTGGTTTTCTATATAATATGATCATTTTGGTAATAAACTTTTACATTATTATTACTAAGATTGATACCTGCCATTAGAAAAGAACAGCAGCAATTCTGTGTAAGATATGAAGGTGATAGCAAAACGTAATTTTGACTAGTAGCAGCTTTAAAACTAGCATACTAATATGTGACTTAAAATAGCAAATTCTTTAATCTCAACAGCTAGTCGAATGGAAACCTTTCAGAGGCCTGTTGCCTCTGAGATAGAGTATTAATATTTACATAAGTACTATTTATCTCAACAAACTTTAACAGTATTAAAACCTGAAAGGTTTTTTAAAAAGCGAAGGAAATGGCTACATAACTGTAATATTTAGGCTTGAAATGTATTCAGAAGTCTCTAGTACAGCAAAGATACTAACTTTTCTAATTTGCCCATTGGTGAATGTTTTGGTTTAGAGAGTGAAGTTTAGAGTAACAAACAAAGAAACACCCACAACATGTAGTTACTTTTGGTCTCAAGATGCTTGCTTAATACGAATTTGCTTAATATGAATATGATAGTTCAAGGCTCCTATGTCTAAGCTTCTTCTAAGATAACTGTCAGATTTGTTTCCTTTGGCTCAATATTGTCCATCTCTTCTGCCAGAAGGGCTTCTCTTGTATATTTGGGCCTTTATTAGTCCCTTCCTTCTCTTTCTCCTTGGGAATGGCTTAGTTTAACTTTTTCTGGCTACTTAAGAATGTGCTTTGGAAACCAAGAGGCAAAGTGTTGCTGCTGCCTTGTGATCTTAAACTAGTTTCCAACTGGCTTCAAGTGCAGTTTGAAGTGTTGTGCCAGTTAACTGCATCAAGCCTGAACTAGGTTACCTTCTCCTTGACTCTTTTTTGGGCAGTGATGGGAGCAGCAGGACTCCTGAACTAATAGCCTCCTGACTTTAATGGCAGGCATTGATGGCAATCAATTTTAATGGAGAAGGCACAATGTTTTAAAGTTATAAATGTGATTGTAACTAACCTGCTAATCTTCAGGCCAGACAGACTATCAGTTTAAAACTAATTGTTTGAAGAAGGTTGTAAATAAATATCAGTTACTTCGAATGGGATCTAACCATTTTAAACTTTGTTGGAACCTGGTGTGCTTGTTTTTGTTGGCTCATGTCAATAAATTGGCAAAAAAAATTATATTACATTTTCAAAGTAATGCAGCCAAATCCAGTGCCACACAGCTAACAATTTGTTTATTCTAGTTAATGTTTTTCCAAGAAATACCAATAAAGTTAAGATTAAAGACTATTACTGCATATCCTGTTATAGTATTATGATTTCTCTTTAATTTCAATGAAGGAAGAGCAGGCAGAAGTGAGAGTATAAGATATGTATGTTTTTATGTTGGTTGGTATGAACTCGTGATTAAGAACCCAATATTTAAAAAAAAAAAAGCTTCCTAGTGTTATTAGTAATTTCAACAGTATCACTGACTTACAATTTCTGATTTTTTTTAATACTCAGTATCGTGCTCACCATCCTTTCTTCCTATTCTTTGGCAAATGTGCTCTTTCACTTTTTCACTTTCTTCCATCCCCACCACTGTCTCACTGTGGACTGAGATAAGAGAATTGTGAAAATACACCCTTAACTTCAAATCTGTTGCATTTAACTATAAACTAAAACTTAAATACTAAAGTTGTGACTTCCTATCTAAAATCAATGTCTGCTTCTGGTACTGTCAACTGTGAGCCTACTGGTTGTTTCTTTGCTGAAAAGGTATGGATGATAAGGAGGATGGAAGAGTTATATAAGGTCTAAGAGTATAGATATTTTAATTGAGCCTTTTTTAAGGCAAGGATGGCTTTTCTTAATGTAAAAAGGAACAGCTAGAAGCATGCACTCTTTCTTCATTCAGAAAGGCTTTCTGTATAAAACTTGTGTTATATTGGTAAGTGTCACTGAATAGTAAGGGGGTTGTATCTACCAGTTTAACTAGAGAAGGCAGATGCTCTTCTGAAATTTGAGCTTCTGTGTCAACCAAGGAGTCCAGTAGAAGGAGAACTGACATTACTCATGAAATAATCTTGGCTGATAACATTAGGAGTAGCTTGTAATAAAACAAATGCATTTCAGTGAGCACGCTAAGTTTTTATCAAGGAGAAAGAACCTATTGGTAGATCTATCTTGCTAGAGTAGTATTTTTTTAAAATCTTTATCTGCAGAGCACTAAGTTTTAGCCTACTGGTTTTACTTGTGAGCTGAGAATTTGAAAAGAAGTATTTCTTCAACCCTGATAAGTTTAACTTAGAAACTCTTGTAGATTATTACTACAAATTACATAAATAATGTGAAAGTCAATAAAAGTAGTGATGCTATGTAACAAAACTATTTTTATTGTTGCTTCTTTTAGTGTGAGTTGTGACAATGACAACTGAAGTTGGCTCAGAGACTGAGGTAAAGAAAGATTCTGAGCAGCTGGGACCAGACAAAGCCAAGGACAAGCCTGAAGAAGCATCAGAGACTCCAGATAATCAAAAGTCCAGGGAAACATCCTCTGAAGAAGCTCAAGATCCTTCCTCTGTTCCAGCACCAACTAGCCAAAGTAGTCCGAGTAGCCAGAAGAAGGAAAAAGCTTCACCTGAAAGCAAGGGTATTTCTCGTTTCCTTCCCCCCTGGCTTAAGAAACAAAAATCTTACACCTTGGCAGAGCCCAAAGATGAGACCAAGAAAAGGACCACAGGGGAAGAACAAGTAGTTGAAGAAAGTGAAAGCCAGACAGCAGAGGGGGTGGCTCATCCAAAAAAGAGCATAGAAGAAGCAGCGGCTGAAAATCAGCATAATGCTAAAGCAGACAACAAAGAAGAAAAACACTCTGTTAGTAGTGCTGAAACACAGGTACATGTGGGAAGGCTAATGGATGATATGGAGTAATTTTAATGAGACCTGATTCATGATTTGTGTAATTCATGTAATGCTTTGTTAGGATCATATCGGGGAAAAAAATGACAGCTACTATCTGGCCTTTTGTGCTGTTGGGTTGTTACAGTTATGAGTAGTATAGCTGGTTTTAAAGGATCCTGCTCTGTGGTAGATACTTTTTTTACTCCAGTCATTCTAGATGTCCAATATTAGTGTAACTTCACACTTCAGCATAGTTCAAAGGAACATTTGAACTGTATCATTGTAGTAGAAATGAGCAAGGATAAGAGAAGCTTCTTAAGTCAGCTTTGTCTCTGAAGCCATATTCTCTGCATGAATACCTCCTTAGTGAGTTAACCACAACAAATAACAAATGGATTATCTGAGTCCTTATGATCTCAGGTTTTGTTGTTCTTTACCTAGTGGCCATGAGCATGGTTTCTGTCCTTTACTGATTCATTCTGGGAGGCTGGTGCTGAGTTCCAAGCCAAACACCACCTTCTGCAGTGCTCCAGAGTCTTGCTTTTTGAAAAGTTGCATGTCAGTTCTTAACACTGTAACCTCACATTCTAGGGTGGCAAAGATGATTAAGGGTGTAGAGAATCTTTTGTATGAGGAGGGGCTGAGAGAGCTGGTATTGTTCAGCATGGAGAAGAGAAGGGTCAAGGGGAATCTTATAAATGTGTATAAATACCTGAAGGGAGGGAATGAAAATGAGCCAGTCTTCTCAGTGGTATGCAGTTAAATGACAAAAGGCAATAGGCTCAAATTAAGAACATGAAATTCCATCTGAAATCACAAAAAAAAAAAAGAAAAAAGAAAAAAAATCTTTTTTTACTGTGCTGGTGGGTCAAACACTGGAACAGGTTGCCCAGAGAGGTTGTGGAGTCTTCATCTGTGAAGATATTCAAAACCCAACTGCGATACGGTCCTGGGCAAACTGCTGTAGGTGGCCCTAGTGGCTTAGACTAGATGATCTCAAGAGGTCCTTTCCAACCTCAACCATTCTGTGGTTCTGTGTAACTTGACTTTCATAAACACTGTTTTTCAGTTTTGTATAAATCCCAGAGCTTCTTGTTAATTTTTTTTTAATGTTTTATTGGCTTTTTTCCTAACAGAAAAGAAATTTATCTCATTTCAAGGAAAGTAAAAAAAAAAAAAAAAGTATCTTCTGTGGTCTGAGAGCAAGAATATCTGCTCCCCAAACACCGACCTTAATGCTTACACTGGTTACTGTGCTTCTAGTATGTGCATAACTTTAATGAAAGCTTAATGTCTTATTAGTAGCTTGTAAAATAAATGAACAAGTTAAATATCCACCTTCCTGAGTTTCAGTCATTGTTTAACTGTATTTTATATAGCCTGCCAAAGAAGATGGTAAAGAGACAGAAGTAGAGAAAGTTGCAGAGGAAAAGGAAGAAAAACAAGAAGAAAAAGAAAAAAGGGAGACAAAAGAAGTGCAGACAGCTGAAATCAAAACAGAAAACATTCCTCGGAAGTCTCCCAAGAAAATTAAAACTGTGCAGTGTAAAGTGATGCTTCTGGATGGCACGGAATACAGCTGTGAATTAGAGGTAAGGCATCAAGTTTCTGTATAAAGAGCTCTTTTTCTATAGAGAAAAAGAAAATTTTCTTTCATTGCACTGAGAGTTTAACAAATACATTTTTGTATATTTAATGAGCTCCTTACAATGTTACATTCACATTGCTATCATTAGGGGCCAGTTAACATTTCATTTTAAAATTCCATCTTTAAGACCTTATCAGTTTATCCTTAAAAATGCACTCTGAGGTACACTAGGAAACAAGATAAAATGCAATATACAAACTTCCAATGGTGATCGTTTGACAGCTCAAATGGAATTTTTTTTTTTCAGAATAAGGTTTTCCTGAAGGTCGTGTCACATGTACTAATGAAGTTGTCTTGAATGCTTTTTCTTTTTGTTAAAGTTATCTCAGCTGGAGAACTAAAGTTTAAAAAAGTTTGCTTCAAAGAAAAACTCTGTTACAGGTATAAAATACATATTTGTATTTAAAGTTATGTTCTAATTCCAAATTTTCATGGCTGCATGGATTCCTTGTTTACAACTGTAAATCGCTGGGTTAGATACTGTGTATATTTGTCTCTTAAATCTGACATAAGCTCACTAACAGAAAGAGGGATTGTGAGTTAAAAGGAAAATAGCTTCTTGGGTTTTATGGCTTTAAATATCCTTTGAACATATATATACACACACTCTCTTTCAGTCTGACCATAATGTCCAAGTTCTAAATCAAATAGTAGTTGTTTAATATTTTAGATCAAGATTAAATTATGAAACATGTAATTGCATGAAAGGAGGAAAAAAGTTGCATTCCAAATCTTATTTCAGTGAAATAACCTTTGGTTTGATTTATTATGACAATTTCTATATGAGTAAGGTAGTAAGTAGGTCTTATCAGCAGATTACTTCAGGCTAGTACTGTCTCCTAAAAGATGCCAGTCACTTCAGTACAAAGGTGTGAGAGGCTGTTCTCTATTAGAAAGTTCAATTGTGATCACCTTTGTCAGCAGAAAATGCAACACCTACTATTATAAACTGCATGACTTCTTCAGGCATACTTTCTGAAGGGTTGGGAATTGTTTTAACTAGAAACTCTGTATTTCATGATGAATAGCCCAGAAATAAGCTCATTTATTTAATACTAGGTTATGGTCCTCCCTTGGGAAGAAGACAGTGTTCCTTGTAGGACAGTTTATATTTGGAAACCATACTTCCAGCCAGTCAGTTGTAAGACACATTAAAATTTGCTTAGTTCTGTTTTTTAATTCCAATAAGTGTTCATAGTACCTGAAGACTTTAGCTTTGTATCTCAAAGGTTGTGTCAGTGATGTTTTAGAAAGTTCTTCCAGCTAGTAGCACTAAAGGCAGGTTCTAATAATGAGGCTTAGTTCCCTTGCACAGCTGTATTCCAATCCTAAAAAACTCTCTGCTCTTCAGCAGTTGCTTTTGTAGGACAGAAGCTCTAAGCTGTTCTTGGGTTCAATTATTTGTAAACTTCTGGGAAAAAGAGGAATCCGGTGAATCAAACAGCTGGTGAAGTCTGGGTTTTCTGATGCTTCACTTCTACTTGTTGCTTCCAGTCATAGCCATTTCTCTTTTTGTGAAATTTGTCTCATTGCAGTTTGTTCTAGTCATATGAGATGGGTGTAAGGTTATGAGAAGTTTCTATGGCCATATAAGCTGCTAGTTTAGAATATCGTACTTTTCATTTATGGGTGGTTCAGTAAGCTAAAGATGTGACCAAGCAACGTGATATGATTCAGTGTATTCTGCAAAATGGTACCTAATATGACACCCACAGCAAGTAGACTTTTAAGTGTTAGAACCACAATGCGTTGGTAGTTATGTGGAGAGTTAATATTTGTTACAGAAGGTGGTAGGTATCCTCACTAAAGTCAACTCTTCCTTTACATTTCTGTCTTAATGCTTTGCACTAGAATATCCATTTGTTTGGAATGGGGGAAAAAAACCGTGTTCTGGACTACGCTTGTGAACATAGCTGTTACATTTTTGCATGATGTTGTAACTGATTAGCTGTGATGACTAGACTGAGTATCAGAGTTATGAAGAGTGGTTAAAACTTGTGCCTTTTCTAAAACCAGACCTCTAGATATATCTTTCAGATTGATCTAAGGACAGAACAGTGGCGATGTCATGGCATTTCCTAGACCCAGCTGATTCTTTGGAAATATTCCCCTTTTTGTCTGATGAAAATTGTTCAATTTTTGGCGTAGTACACACAAGTCATGCAGTAGAGCAGGCGTCTGCTTGAAGCCTTTTGTCTTCTCTTGTGCCGCTTCATTTTCCAGTGTCTGTCAGTCAGTCCCTACACTGTTTGCTTGTGGATTTCATTAGGCTTACTAGTAGTTTAATTGCTTATTGTGTACAAGTCCTTTTGTGCACTGTAATATAATACTGGATGGATACTGCTCATCTGTCCTTTGAGATCTTGCGAAACTAATACATAGAGAAGACTAAAAAAAGCTACCTGTTTTTAAGACTTCCAGAAGCTTCATCAGAACTTAAGTCTTATTTCATGCATTAGACCAGCTTTCTTCAAACCTGTTCTCTAATAAAACTCTACCTATCAGCTAAGAAATTCTTAATGGTTGTTTATTAATATGAAATACTCCTTGGGAATGTTTTGCTGTGGTTTGCTGGAATTTTTAGTGTTTGTGTTTTATGGTTTTTAGTAATAGAAGCTTTCTGAAGCCTCTATTTACTAAATAATTCAAATTCTTGATGTTAAAACCAAACAACTTCAGTCTATGTTTCTTAATGTACAATATTTTAGCCCGACAGGGATCTCTCCCTGATAGTGTCAAATGGAGACCACTGTAAATTAAGTCAACTGTAAAAAAAACAATAGTGAAGGCTTTGTTAACATTAGTTAAGTCTACTTATTTTTATGCTGTGTTTACAGAAGAAAAAACTTATCAGAAATTATCAGAATAAACAAAACATGACCATGAAAAATGTGCTACAGAATAATTGCTCTCCAGAACACATTGTGTAGGGCTGTGCATGCTTATGGTGTAAAGGTGTAGGAATTTTCTAACCTAAAAGTTCTTGAAAAGTATTTTTATTTATTTATGTTTTATTTATATGTTCTTATTAATATATATGGAGAAAGATCTATAGAAATTATATATAAAACAAAAATTGACATAGATGATGTAGTAACCGTCCATTGTCTTCCCAGGCTTTTTCCCCATCCAGAAATGAGACTTAAATGAAGTTGTGGCTTACCACAGATTTTAAAAGATAACCACTTTACATTTACAACAAAAATTCTGTTCTGCAGTATTTTAAGTCTATTGTGATTCAGTTAAGCTAGTTGGCAAGAAATATGTTTTCTGATTTATTACAAATGTTTGCTGTAAGAACAGAAGCAAAAATTAATTAAGGAGGGGGACAAAGTGGAATAGAAACAATCTGTTTTTATATGTTCATTTGAATCATTTATAGGACATGAGCAGTGCTGACTATAATTTTATAAATGAATTCATGTTCTTAAATACATGTAGAACTTTTAATGCTCTACTACTGTACCAAAATGTTAAAAGTCTCAGAAAGCTGCTTCAACTAACAACTGAAACTTCAGTTTGTGCTCTCTGCAGTGGATCCTAGTAGATCAATTTCTGATACTGATCTTTTCTTTAGTCTTCCTTTAATATTTAGTGTTTCAGTAAATGTTGGTTTATTTCTGCTTTACAAAGTAACAGAAATGATACAAGATTTAAAAAGCAAATTAGCAGAAACTCTGCAGTCTAAGCACAAAGCGCAAAGCCCAGTTTACTTTGGCTGTCTTTCTAGTAAATCACATTTTAGTTTGGAGCAATTTCCATGGTTGAGACATTCCCTATGCCTCTTCCAGTTTTTACTATGCACCGTAGACCAACTGGAAAGCAGTTTTGCAGAGAAAGAACTGGGGGGTGGGAGGATGGGGTGTGTGGGGTGGGTGTCCTAATAGACAAGGTGATCATGGGCCAGCAATGGGCCCTTGCAGCAAAGGCGGCCAACAGCTTCCTGGCCTGCAGCAGGAAGAATGTTGGCAGCAGGTTGAGGGAGATGGTCCTTCCCCTCTGCTCAATACCTGCAGTGCTGGGTCCAGTTATCGGCTGCCCAGTACAAGAGAGACTTGGACATACTGGAGAGAGTCCAGCAAAGGACTGCAACGCTGATTAAAGGCTTTAAGCATCTGATGTATGAGGAGGGACTGACAGAGGTGGAACTGTTCAGCCTGGAGAGGAGGAGGCTCAGGGAGGTTTTAGCACTGTGTACAAATACCTGACTGGGGGATGAGTAAAGATGGAGCCAGGCTCTTCTCAGTGGTGCCCAATGATAGAATGAGAAGAAATGAACACAAACTGAAATACAGGGAATTCCACTGAAACATGAATGTGAAGGTGTATCAGTTGAGGGTGATCAAACACCATAAGAGATTGCCTAGATAGGCTGTGGAGACACCACCCTTTGAAACAGTGAAAATCTGACTAGACAAGGCCTTGACCTGTTGTGAACAGGGGTGTTAGACTAGATAGCCTCCAGAGGTCCCTTCAAACCTCAACTAATGTACATAATTATAGCTAAATTTCACCATTGTAGGAGTATAATTCAGGAATGACTCTAAACATGTTAGCTGTGTTAATAATTTAATTTAGACTATATAGTGCACATTACACACATACTTTGTCAGTTAAAAACTGATGATAGCATGAATGGTATTAACACACAATTATTATTAAAGAAATAAAACCAATGGCGTAGCTGTAAATCCGTGGAGTTGACTAATAATGTAACAATTGCAGTGCTTATATGCAAACTGCCCCAAAAACCATTGCACTGGATGTGTGGTTGACACTGCAAGGAGCTATCTAATGTGCTAGCCCAGTAACCCTTCCACCCATACCTAGTCTTGGTGAATTGAAGCTCTGTTATGTTGGAGGGTTAGCACCTACTACCTGTTGTGGTGTGGCATATCATTGAGGTGAAACGACGATTGTGACTTAGGCACTTTGAAATATGAA